CCTGATGAATCTAAGAAGTTTATTGTCCAAACTGATGCCTCGGATGTGGCTATGGGGGCCGCTATTTTGCAAGAAGGGGAAGATGGTCGGTTACATCCCCTGGCATTTGTGTCTAAAAAGTTTTCTGATGCCGAACGAAACTGGGGGATTTGGGAAAAGGAAGCGTCAGCGATCCGGCTGGCTCTCTCCACTTGGAGGCAGTGGTTGGAGGGGGCGCAACTGCCATTTGAAGTCTGGACTGACCATAAGAATTTGGAGATGCTGAAATCCCCCCGTTCTCTCAACGCTAAACAACTTCGTTGGGCGGACTTCTTTGCTAAGTTTCGATTCACTCTTCGTCATTTCCCTGGGGCGGCTAATTCCCTGGCTGACGCGCTTTCACGCCTCCCACAACATGACAGTCAGCGTGAGATCATCATGGACTCTGTTTTTTCCCCCTCCCATCTGGGGGGGGCCGTAGTCACCCGGGCGCAGGCGCGAACGATTCCACACTCTGATGAGACTTCGCCTTCCCTGTTCCCTGTGGGAGGGGGGGCCTGGGTCCAGAAATATCTTTCTGCTTTTACTGCTGAGGATGATGCCTCCCTTAAGACATTACCTGATTGTGTCCGTAGCCCTGAAGGTCTGATTTATTCTGGAGACAAACTGTATGTGCCTATTTCAATGAGGAGGGAAGTGATGGATTCTGCTCATGGTTCCAGACTGGCAGGACATTGGAGTTTTGTTAAATCTCTACAACTCATCCGCAGACAGTTCTGGTGGCCACAAATGCGCAAAGACCTCTTGATGTTTGTTAGGTCCTGCCAAACCTGTGCCTTAACTAAACCCAGGATGGGCAAGCCTCCTGGTTTACTGCAGCCACTCCCTACTCCGTCGAGACCATGGGAAGTGGTGTCCATGGACTTTATTACTGACCTCCCTGCGAGCAAAGGGAACACTGTTATTTGGGTGGTTGTTGATTTGTTTTCTAAGCAAGCTCATTTTGTGCCTTTTCCTTCCTTGCCTACAGCTCAGAGGTTGGCGAAATCGTTTATGTCTCACGTGGTGAAAATTCATCAATTACCTGCTAAATTAATTTCTGACAGGGGGACCCAATTTGTTTCTAAGTTTTGGAGGGAACTTCTTTCCATTTTAGGGGTGGAACAAGGGCTCAGCAGCGCGTATCATCCTGAAACTGACGGACAAACGGAACGCGTTAATCAGACTCTGGAACAATATCTGCGTTGTTTTACTAATTATCAACAGAATGATTGGTGTGAATTATTGCCTCTTGCTGAATATTGTTATAACAATACGGTCCATAGCTCCACAGGCATGTCTCCTTATAAAGCTGTATCTGGTTACGACAGTCCCCCCCTCCCTTTCTTGGAGGGGATGGGCCAACGTCCTGTGGGGGATGCTGATACATGGTGTATGTCCTTGCAAAAAGCATGGCCTCTGCTATGCCAAACACTTGACGCAGCCAAGGCTGCTTACAAGACCCAGGCAGACAAGGGTAGGGTGGTGGGGTTTGATCTGAAACCTGGGGATCTTGTGTATGTCTCGACCAAGAACATTAAGATGCTGCGGCCTAGCAGGAAATTGGGGTGGAAGTTCATAGGTCCATTCAAAGTGCGTAAAGTCATAAATGATGTGGCGGTTGATGTTGTTTTGCCTAAGAATTTACGTGCTCTGCATTCTGTATTTCACATGAGCCTGTTGAAGAAAGATCCTGGTCCGTCTCCCTGGAGACCAACAGTTACTCCTCCTCCACCTGTTATTTTGGAGGGGGATGAACATTTTGAGATCGCTGATATCCTTGATTGTAAAGTGAAACGTGGTAAACTCTGGTACCTTATCGAATGGGTTGATTTCGGTCCCCAGCACCGCGAATGGGTGGAAGAAGGGGATATTCGGGCCCCTTACCTGATCCGTAGTTTCCACAGAAGGTTCCCGGACAAACCGGGAGGTCTCCCGCCCAGCCCGGGAGATCTCCCGCCCGACCCGGGAGGTGTGTTATAAGTGTATTTTAAGGGGGGCAGTATGTCAGCAAGCTGCCATTCTGTTTTCTATGACCTCTGTGTACATATCCTTTCCCTGTTGGTTTCTATCATCCTGCTCCTGCGTTGGAATGCAAAAGATAACTGCTGGAGGTTGTGTGGGGGAGAAGATACTGCAATGCTTGCCTATTGCTTTTCTCATGACTGCTGCACCTGTGTTTTGTCTGATGTTTTGCCTGGTTCCCATAGACTGGGCGCGCAACCGTTTCCTTAGCCCGCCAGCGGGAAAGTTATTCATTGGATCTGTATCTGTTTGAAGTTCCTTTATTATGCTTGACCTAACCGTGTATCCCCAGTTCTAACAAAGAACGTGTTTGAGTATGTCTTCAACGCTTTGAAATAAACTTTACTTTTCTTTGAAAACGTGGATTTATTCTCGATGCTTGGGGATCCAACACTGGGTCAGTGTGGAAAGGAGGGGGGGCACCAAGATTGGTCAGTGCTTAGGGCACCAGGGAGCCTTAATCCGCCCCTGTCTGCAGAATACAGAAAGAAAGAAGGGAAGCACTCTGGGACAGTCTAGGCAAGGAGTCTGTATTGTGACACTTGGTTGGTTCACTCATTACTTGCAAACCAGGATATTTTTGTCCCAACCAACTGATTTTCTGTTTTCCCTGTCCTTATTCTGTTTCTTTCAAGAGTTCATTTCTGACTATTTATTTGCTATCAGGGGGAAAAAAATCACAGGACTAGCACAATCAATGTGGGCTACTGTAGTGCTGATTTTCTCCTCCAGTCAGAAGGAGGGTTTTTTTTTTGGAGGCTCATAATGACCTCATAAAATTGCTTCCCTCCTGGCATTACCCTGCACTTTCACCTGGCCACACCGCCTTCCCAATCTTCTGTCCAACGCCCAACAAACCCACCAGAGCTTTATTTATTCATTTATAGCCCAACTTTCTTGCAGGGCTTCAAGGCAGACTATGAAACATAAAAAGAATTAGATCAAACAGCATAAGAAGTCCAAGAAATACAGCATGTCTAGGATTATAGAACTGGCAAACAGTGCAAACACATGAAAATAATGCGAGAGAGCCAGTTTGGTGTAGTGGTTAGGAGCGTAGACTCTAATCTGGGAGAACCAGGTTTGATTCTCCATTCCTCCACATGTAGCTGCTGGTGTGACCTTGGGTCAGTTACAAGTTCTTTCAGAGCTGTTCTCTCATGAGCAGTTCTCAAAGAGCTCTCTCAGCCCCACCTACCTCACACAGGGTGTCTGTTGTGAGGAGGGGAAGGGGAAGGGACTGTAAACCGCTCTGAGATTCCTTCGGGTAGTGAAGGGCAGGGTATAAATCCAATCTCCTCCTCCTCTTAAGAACATAAGAGACGCCAATGTTGGATCAGGCCAAAAGCCCATCCAGTCCAACACTCTGTCACACAGTGGCCAAAAATACCAGGTGCCATCAGGAGGTCCAGCAGTGGGGTCAGGACACTAGAAGCCCTCCCACTGTTGACCCCCCCAAGCACCAAGAAGACAGAGCATCCCTTGCCCCAGAGTCCCTATCTATACCTTGTGGCTAATAGCCACTGATGGACCTCTGCTTCATATGCTTATCTAATTCCCTCTTGAAGCCATCCATGCTTTTCTGGAACCCAGCATTATGGGCAGGAGGAAACCTGGCCACTTGTAAGCCTGTCACCTAGCTTTTTTCCATTCCCACCATTCTTGTTAGAAGCAAGTGACTGTGATCCTATTTTTATTTTTTTCCCCCTCTACTTGCTTTTTGCTTCTTTTAAAGACGTCATGCTCTTTGTAGAAGGACGGACAAAAATGTCACAACATTGTGCTCAGGCTCTCAAGTGCTCCGGAAGGCTTCACCGTGCTGGATGGTCAGATAAAAAAGAAGGCTGGTGAGGGGTGGGGGAGATATTTCAGAGCGTGAAGGAGAAACATTCCAGCCTACATTTGTAATCTTAAAATAGAACACAGGATGTGATTGGATTAAATGGTGTGTAAAACAGGTTTCATGACAGAGAGCCAATGTGGCAGAGTAGTTGAAGTGTTAAGAGTAGAACCCAGGTTCCAACCTCTACTCTGCCACAAAGCTTGCTGGGTGGCCTTGGGCCAGTCACTTCCTCTTAGCATCATCCCCCTCACATGGTTGTTGTAAAGATAAAATAGAGGAGGGGCAAATCCTGTACATTTACTCTGAGTTCTTTGGGGAATGAGTAGGATAAAAATGTACTAAAATAACGAGATGTACCAAAGGGAAGGGGGGGGGGCGACGTAACTCTTGCCTTTTGACCACGTAAAAGTCAGCAGTTGTATATAGAACCTACTAGTGTCATTTTCTCCCCCCCCCCTTTTTATGCAGCTTGATAAAGAATTCTGAATAACTTGCACATTGCTGTTAAATTGGTTTGATCCTAATAAACAGGACTGTTGTCTCTGATGATGGATCTACAGTTCAACAGGGCTATTACTGAGCACCTTTGGGTGTACACAGCTACAACGCAATATTTCAAGCACTATCCTAGTGTACTATTGTTTGCTGTAAGCCACACAGGTGCACAGGTGGGTTTAAAAAAAAGGCAAGGGGATACTGGATGTAACCCAGAAGTTACACACCATCCATGTGTAAAACATGACCGCCTTTGCCTTCTCTAATCTCGTGCGAACAGGAAATGTCGGATGTCGAAGGATGACACAAAGGAATACTGCCTTTGGTGGAAAATCGCCACAGGTGAGCTGGTCCAGAAAATTTAGGAGGAATAAAGGGCGCTCTGTGTAAGAAGAAATAAATCCCTTGATACGACTCTGTGCGACCGAGCACGCCTGTTCACGAGCGCAGAGAGATCCGAAGTCAGGCTGCCTTTTCGCCCGCTGTTCTCCACTGCCAAGGGAAACACTTTGAATAAACCTCTGTTGGTCTTAAAGGTGCCACTGGACTCTACATTTGTTGTACATTACTACAATAACCGGCTCCCTCCTCTACAAAGGATGCAGGAACCGCCTCTTACCCAGTCACAAGGGCCGGCGGCGGATCCGACGGCCGCCACGCAGACTCCCCGCAGGTAATCCGGGCCCAGGGCGAGTTTGGCTGAGCAGGCCGCCAGCGCCCCCAACAGGCCGGCCACTGCAGAATACGCCGACCCCCTGCCGCCCGCCATCGCCTTGCCTTTTGGCGAGTGTCAAATACCACGTGGCTGTAAGATAACCTCCTTCCGGGTATAGTCAGATCATGTGACCCGTTTCCGAGGAGGCTGGCCATTGGCAGAGGCGACGGAGTTAGAAGTGTCTTGGCTTAGGGAACAAAAGCCGGGACTGGTTTTTCTCGCTCCGTTTTATAGGTAGCACAACAGTGGCCCACCGCAATTAAAATCCAAAACCCTTGGCCTACCCCCCCCCCGCATATTTTTTATGTGGAGTTTACTTCCTGAAGTTGTAATAAAGGTAAAGGTTCCCTTGCTCGAAAGCCAGTCGAATCCGACTCTAGGGTTGCGGTGCTCATCTCCGTTTCAAAGCCGAAGAGCCAGCGCTATCCGAAGACGTTTCCGTGGTCATGTGGCCGGCATGACTAAACACCAAGGCGCACGGAACGCTGTTACCTTCCCACCTAAGTGGTACCTATTTATCTACTTGCAATTTGTTGCTTTCGAACTGCTAGGTTGGCAGGAGCTGGAACTAGAGATGGGAGCTCACTCCATCATGCGGCACCGGGTCTCGAACTGCTGAACTACTGACCTTCCACAGCCTGCAGTTCAGCGTCTTAACCACTTGAGCCACCACAGCTAAAAATTATCCCCCCCATGCTGACATAAATATAATTTTGGAGATTTGCTGATTTTTGCTTCCCATCAAAGTATGTTACTTTAGCTAGCGGATAGTTCCTTCTCTTAGCCAACTGAGAATTGGTTCAGAGCAGCTGGTGAAGGGGGATTTATTCAGCTCCACACCCTATTGGTAAAAGCATCGAGCTGAACACTTAAGACTTCCCAATGAAAGGAATGAATTCTCATCTTTTCAAATTATAGGTTTGGGACTCTGAGGACGGAAATGGGGGAGCTGTGTGGTTGTATGGGGAAGAGAGGAGGGTGCAGGTATTAGGTATTCTCCAGTTTCTCATGAGTATTTTCTCACATTTGAAACATTTATACACTCTGTTTCCAGTAGGAGTGCTAGCTTTAGTACAGAGGATGCTTTGGAGAATGGCAGGCATATAAATATTTTAAATATGGCAAAAAAGTACTTCTGAGCATGTACATGGAATCCATAGAGCCAAGGATACAAAGAATAAGAAATGAAACAGATTAAAATTCAAACCTCAGTTTTCAAACCTCAACAGCAAGAATAACTCAAGACACATTTATTTAAATTGTTTTAATTTTTAGAATTAAAAAACTCACATCAAACATTAAAAACATTTACAGAATTTTACAATACTGATATAGCTGCCATGGAATGGATGAATCTTTATCAGGTACTGATATCAGGTACAGAGCATCTTTCTGCCATGGATTCTTGTGAATTAAGCTATGTTAATCTATTGTAAGAAAAAAGCAGACCTTTGTGGTACTGTAACAGCTGTCATTATTTAATAAGTCTGTTAGTCTTTAGAGTGCCACAGGTCTCCACAACTGGAAGCTTCATTCACCATGAAAGACATGTGTGGAATGTCTGCATCTGTTGCAGAAGACTCCAAGCAATGACCCATCTTCCGATGAGTAACGTCATTTTCCCTTTTGCCTGAAAGGGCTGACAAAACAGCACCTCAGCAGTTCTTGTCTTAAACTAGAAACCATTCACCTCCCCACTTGGCTGAGCATAGAGAAGGCAATGTTAGTTATGTAGTTTCACAGGCTGCTGATCTACAAGCCACAGGCCACAAGATGAACAGTCCTGCAATGAGGAATGGAAACCATCTTGCAAATTTCATGAAGTCTCTGTTGAAACATACCTACCAATATTTTCTCTAGGCTGCTATTTGCTTTAACATCTGGTACAGAATATTCATTCAGAATGCTTGGAATGAGAATCCCCTCCTTTTGTGTAGTTGTAGAGAGGCAGTCATCTAAATATATATGTTGCTATTCTGAATTGGGCTTGCACGTTCCTTCCAGTCTCCGCTTATCCTGTCGTGCAGCAATCAGCTCCCCTTTCCTTTAACCCTAGCTTGCTTTGAGGTTCATATCTGGCAAACTATAGCTACTGCAAGGCAAAGCGAGGAGGGAACAAGCCTATGGCACATCCCTGCTCACAAAACCATGGTTCGGAAGATCATCTGAACCGAGCCACCGTCCAGCATTCCTCAGCACTATACAATCCATTACAATAGGAAATCTCCTACTATTTAAACCCCGTAATCCATATTTAAACATGAGCTTCTTAAAGTGAAACTTTGCACGACCAAGTTAGGTCATGCAGTTCAATTATATTTCATAATATGTTGCCTGTGCCTTCGTTACAGACTCCAGAGAAGTCTGTTGTTTGTACTGAATCTCCACTAAACTAGGAAAGTCTTACTGCAATCCTTTAAAATAAACATGAGATCTATTTTAACAGCTGAGACACATGTCTCTTGGCTGGAGGACAGTGTTGCCATTTAGGCTTGCTGATGGCCTCGTAGCTATTTTACATTTACAGGGAGGCAGTGTGTTGCTGGAAAAGAAAATTCTGGAGAAAAGGACAGGCTCAGAGAAAGGAAACATACGCAATATGACACCAAGTTCATACTGCCCACAGTATTAAAGATCACCATAATAATTAATGGATACTTTTGATTTATTAAAAATAAAAAACTCATTCGTTCAAAGCATCTCTGGACAACAGTAATGAGACAAATTTCCTCAATATATACAATGTTTTGAAATAAGAACTACAGTGATTTTTTTTTTTAAGCATAAGAGACAAATTCAATGTGAGATACCCCTAAGTGCTTTTTTGGAACAGGAAGCCTAAAAGTTATACTAACAACAAGCAGAGGCAAATGCTCTAAGGTGACATTTCCCAGCATCTCCAACATTTTAATGCAACGGTTTTAAATGGCTCAGTAAGAATAACAATTCTGCTGAAAAACTGCAAAATCATCTGGAGCAAGAATGCTTTAATCAGAACTACTGCCCGGTATGTTACACGGTTTTGCAACAATTCCCTCCTGAGCTAATGTGAAGAAAGCCAAGCGAAGTGCCTTTTTTATTGTCAATGGTGTTTTCATTTCTTGACACAGTTAATGCGGGTGATTCTTGCAACATTCACCTTTTTCTTTCAAAAAAGCATTTTCAGCACGAAGTGCATCAGCTTCCTATGGAGACAGAATGAGAAAGAGACAAGAGTATTCAACTAGAATCCACGTTATGAACAAAACCACTTACATTTTTAAAACTTGGGGAGAAACAAAAGTACATTAGCTTTTCCAGGAGTTAATCGGAAGAAGCAGCGGCAGACACAATTTAAATTTTTTTAAATCACAATGAATTCGAGTCTTTTCTAATCCTACCTCAATCAGTTTAGCATGATCTTTCTTTAGCTTGACGAGATATTGTATCTTCTGATTTAAATTTTGGTGACCCACCAGCTTCCCATTCTCCTCAGCAAGAAACTCAACTTGTTTCTTCAGCAATGACATCTCCTGTGTTTCAAAGATCGGCACAAAGAAATGATAATGTAGCTGTTGAAGACATCACTTTTGCAGTAGCTTATCTGATACAGTGTACAACTAGGCCCATTTTTAATACTCTCCAGTCGCACTGGAGGACCTTTTTCTCAGCAACTTAACTGGGGGGCCACTCCTGTTTTTCATCACCAAATGATCTCGAGCCAATAACAAATTACAATATTTTACTACCCAAACTCACTTATGACAAACCTTTTCCATTTTTACTCTCTCTTCATACATCTCTTCCAGTTTTGATCTCATTTCTTCTTTCTCCTGGAAAGCTTTCAGCTCCAAAGTTCTGGTCCGTTCCACCTCCAAAGTAATCTCCTGAAAGGCAGTGTCCTTGCTGGTAAGGTCCCGCCTGGCCTTTTCCAATCTGTGGAAGATTGTCATTAAAAACAAAGCATTAATTGAGAACTCAATGATCACACTGAGAGATTTCTCACTTGACATGACAGCAAAGATACAGGCCAGGATTTCCACTTAAAAACAGTCACCATCTTTGAGTCTACTTCACAGAGCTGTTGTAGGGTCAAATGGAGGAGGGGAGCCACCCCCCTGCCCTGGACTCCTTGGCAGAAGGGTGGAATAATTGTTTTCACTAACCTGAATTTTTAGTAACTCAGGGAGCAATCCTAAGCAAGGCTCCTTAGAAGGAAGACCCACATTACTCAATAGGGCCTCCTCCCAAGAGGGTGTCCTTAGGATTGTAGCCTCAGGATTGTAGCCTCAGTCTTCCGATTCCGTTGGGAATCGTTTTTATAAAGGAAGAAAAATGTGTCTCCTATCTTAACCTCTCACCCTGGTTTAAGAAGATTACACTCTTTACCATGGAGTAATTTGACAAAATAAGTGAACGGTCTGCCTCAAAATCACTCATTAGATTTCTACCTCATTTACAACGTGCTCTTAGAAGTCAAACTTACTTTTAACTATGTGTTTGTTCACATAACCAAGATGAGAGCCTAATCTCTTCGAAGCATGTGCCTTAATGTGCAATCAGGTGCTCTGAAGATGCCACCGGTTGCTGGCTGCACACACAGCAACTATTGTCTTGTGTTAAAAGGTTGCTCTGAATGATTTTTCCTGAAGTTCTCTTGCAAAATTTTACTTAGACAAATCTGACATGCATTTTGGATTGTATTTTCTGTTATTTTATCACTGTTGTATACTGTGTTGAGCATTCGTTAGAAAGACAATTAAAAAACCCCCAAAACCTTAATGCTTAACTGGTTTGCATTGTGCCCTGACTATTTAAGAGTACTTTTATTTGTAGCTGAGCAACAACACAGAAAATGTGCCAATGTGTTTTTAAAAAGTCTTTTGTCAGACAGGAACTGAAGACATTGTCATTTCACTAGTCCAAGAGGGAGCAACAATAGGATGCAAATGGCAGGGGGTGGGAGAGGAGGAGGAGGCCAATTTGCATTGCAACATC